GGATACAATATAGAGGAGACAGGACTAGAGAGGAGAGTACAGCATTCAAGGCCCAGCTTAGGAAAAAAGTAATGGCATGAACCTTAAATTCCTGAATACCTTCCACTAGAAACTATCTTTTCGCCGTAGTCGTGAGTGTGGGTTCTTTTGGGAGGTGTAAGAGAGAAGAAAGAGAAAGACATTTCCTCCCTCTTATTGAACATTCTAGAAAATTGATACTTTGTGACCCAGAAATACTGTGGAAAGGGAAAAAAAGATGATTTCCTCTAATGCTATCCTTAGCTCTGTATATATCAAATGTAAATGTAAACTATCTCTGCCTCAGAAGAAGATAAAGCAGCTGAGTAAGCCTTTCTTTATACCAGCCTTTCAGAGAAGATGTTCCTAGGCACAACCTTTAGTCTTTGAAATTACCCTTTGCCTTGAAGAGCCCCTTCCCTTAACTCTCATTGTTGAACTCATGCATTCATCAAAATCCACCTCAACCATTACCTCCTCAGTGAAGTCATTCCATGTTTCCCTGTGCTTATTCTGCTACCCTTGGCAGAACTGATCATCCTTCCTCCGAGCCACTGCTGTAACTTGCATGTATTTTTATGATAAAATTTATTCTTTTGTATTTCAATTATTTGTTTACGTGATTGTGTCCTTTGTTAAACTATGATCACCTTAAAGTCAAGGATGGAATCTTATTCATTCTTCCATCCCCAGTGTCTAGAAAAGGTCTAGTAAACAGTTTTGCATGAATAGAAATTCACTCTCTATGATGAAAGTCACATTTAAATTCATTGGGAGTATTTAGAATATGATATCAAATAGTTACATATGGCCATTAACTTTAAATTCAATAAAATTAAAATTTAAAATTCAATGTTTTAGTTTTATCACATTTCTACTGCTGTATAGCCATATGTTGCTAGTGGTTACTACACTGGACTGTTGATATAGACCATTTTCAAAATTGAACAATGTCGTAGAATATTTTCAATTTTTTATGATCAAATTTATCATTTTTGAAATGTAATATTAATTTCTACTGGTGGAGTTAACCATCATTTTATAGCCTTATCCCTGTACAATATTTCAAAGATGAAAGATACTGTGAATGTTCAATGATTCTTCATTGTTGGACACAAATGATTTTATTTTTCTAAAGTAGCCGAAGGCAACCCATTGAAGTAATGAAAAGTTTGTCTTTCTTACTTACAAGCTGCGTGTCCTTGGCAAATTACTTGATCTCTATGGGGCTTCATTTGCTCATTTGTAAAAGAAGTATTAAATAACTATACATGGCCTATAAGGCTATTGTAAGAATTAAATGAGATACTGTGTGCACAATTAAGACATAGTATTCAATAAAAGACAGTTATTATCTTTATGACACCTGAACCTAGTAATAATAATGCAGAGAAACTGCTAAGAATCATGAATAGATTCCCTTCTTAGTGTTTAAGACTACCACCATTGGTTTTGACAATGCTGTAAATTGTTTAAACTATTGCAAAAGCAAAGGGCAACCCTAACTGGATCAGCACACTTCAGGGTTACAATGCTGACTCTGCATTTCCTATCTTTCTTGATTTCATCATCTGTGAAATGAGAATAGTTTATTCTTATGGGACTTTCATGAAAAGTAAGGACATGGTCTAAAAGACCCTAGTGCAGAAGCTGGCCATTTTTATGCACTGAATAAACTCCAGAAACAAATATCTATTGTTGTCATTGTCATTTTCATTTTTCTACCAGGAGTTAGCTCATGTCTACAATAAATTTTCTAGTTTATTAAATGAATAAATGAATTAATGAACAAATAAATGAATGGAGTAAGCTAAATCAATTAATAGCCTCCTCCAGTTATTGCCTGGTACAAGACTATGAATAAATATCACTAACATGATCACTTCATGAAAGTCCAGCATATAAACAACTTATACAAAGCTTTGCATATTTCAGGCAGTAACTGGTATAAAGGAAAATATAACTTTCTTTGCAAGAGCTCTACATTTTGAGTCTCATGATTCTCATAATTATCCAAATATTATTTTTTGTTTTCTGCCAAATTTATATATAATACATAAGTGACTGACCTTAATATTGACAATATAAGTTTTCTGTTTACACTTTGATTTTTAACACTAACCATATTTGTTTAAATAAATAAACTCTACTTTAATCAAAGCATTATAAAAATAGCCTAGTGTTTAATAATGGAAAATCAGATTCATTTAATCATTTGACGAAGTTTCAACAAATATATATTTTTATTTATTAGCACCTCCGATCAATGCAAAAAAAAGTCTAAAATAATTTTGCTTCAGAAGAAGTGCCTGGGATGACATATGATGTGAATGTAATGTTTATCTGAGGCTGGTGGAATTTGTTCAATAATCCTGCAATTATAATTAGAGTGCCTAGCGTAGTTATTCTCCAAGTGCCTTGGCCAGATCCATTTTCCTCTCTTCTCCACCCTGAACCAGGGGAAGCCTTTATCTCTCTGGCTTTCTTGGTAGTTGTCTTCCCTTTAGATCTGAATAGTAGGAGGATCGATATTAAAAGAATTAGTACCTCACCTCTAGCAGAAGTTGTATTCCTTCAGAAACATGGCTCCCTGGGCATAGAAATCCTCCACAGTTTTCTTCTCGCTTGGTTCCAGAAACTCAGTTTCTTCCTCTGTTCATTTAGCCATATGGGTGGGCATGGCTCCACCATTGCCAATTTCTGGATGCCTCACCATCCTTATTTGATGCAGGAATCTCTGTGCACACCTTATAGTAGTCCCTTTGTTGAGTTATCTTAATGTGAACTCTCTGAATGTAAACTCTATTTTCTATCAGACCCTGCCTTGTGCAAAAAAATAAAAATAAAAATAAAAAGCTCTATTGCCAGATATTTACCAGGTATTTGGCAGTAGGAAACTTATTTAATTTCTCCTAACTTCAGTTTACTTTTCTACAAAATGGGAATAACAATAGTATTCACGCAATTACTCTGTAAGGTTGTGAAGTTGGTATATAATAATCAGAAAGTATATCATGATTTTTCCTGGAAATATTGTGCCAATATTCCTTTGTGTTCTGAATGGGGTAAATAATGAGGGAGATTCTCATTTTGCAATCATAAGAGAAGCCAGCCTGAAAATTCAATGAAGGAAGGCAGAGCTGAAAGAACTGCAAAGATACTCAGTTAAAACTCTGATCAAACTACAGCTAAAGGCTTACCTAATAGCTGGACTATTTTGATTCGGTTTTCTTTTCGATAAATATTTACTCTTGGTAAATCAGCCCTTTCTCCAGGCTTGTTGAATGGTAGGCTTTGATAGTTGTTTCTAAATTCTACAGAAAAACAAATCTGAATGCAATAAATATTTCTAATACATCTAGTAATTATAGAAATATTCATGTAAGAAGCCTAATTATACACATGATAGTTTTTAAATTGATTTAGTATCTTAATAACTGAAAATATCAATTTTCTAGACGAATCAGAAAAAGTCAGCTTTGTGCTTCATCATCTTAACACTGAGTATAGAAAATGTAAGCTACAATAAATGAATGTTAAAAGATGGGTTAGAAGAAATATCTAAGAACTTGAAAAAAATGTTTTATGTATTTTAAGAAAACAATGTCTACTATTTTCAGAGAATTAAGTTTGGGGAAGATTTACAATTACACTTGCATACAATAGTAATTTCAAATGTGAACTTGTGAATTTATTATTATTTTTTTTCAAAATAATGACATTAGCAAAAACTTTACATAGCCTGTATTGAATTTACATGTTCAAATGAGGCTTTTCCAGTAATAATGGGGATTATACAGAGCTAGAGTCTGACGTTTAACTTTATGTCAAAGGCACTATTTACTCTATGAGTTACAGAAGATCGATATTTTTTAAATTTGATTTCTTTTGAAAATTAAAAAAGGAAAGCTTTACTAAATAGTTAACATACATATTTACTCCGAATTTTACATTTAGTGAAATAAGAATATCTGCAATAGCTTAGTTAACATCAATGGAAAGCTTCAAAAAAAGGATTCTGAAAATGGCAGGCAAAACAATTTTTTTTTATTGTAGGCAATTATTTAAACTGCATATTTGGCTTTATGCATAACAAGTCATGTGGGAAAAATATCCACATTGCAGTTAGGTTTCCAGTATCTAGTTTTCATTTTCATTTTCTTTTCCTAACAGCGACATTAACGAGATTTCGCCAGGTTATAAAAACGAGGGCTTTCTTGGGAGCTACTTGTAGTTGCCGAGCTGAATGGCAGAGCGCACATAGACACATCGGAAGGTGGATGGCTGAATTTCCCAGTACTGGACTGGGTTGCTGAACAGGCTTACGCCGGAATAAGAAGCCTTTTTGGTGTTGTATCCAGGTGGGCAAAAGTCGTTAGACCCAACTGCAGAGATATTGTTGTTATGAAGGTAGACAACCTGCAACATAATAAAATGGAGAAAGATTATTTTCCTCTGACTATATTAAGGCCCCTCATGTATATACTTTATTTTTTTTTCAGTATATTCATCCTTCAGTTTGAATACCTTCTCAAACCAAACTTTCGATTTCCTTCTTCCTTCCTAAACTTGCTTTTCCCTTCATTAGTCTCCTTATCTCAGTATATGTCATCTCAATCTTTTCAGATGTTCAACCTAAAAACACTGGCATTATCTTTGATTCTTTCTTTCTCTTATACTCTCTGACCAACTATCAACAAATCCTGCCAGCTCAACCTTCAAAATGTACATTTAATCCAGTTCTCCCCATTTTTACTCTTGAATTCTTTTCCAAAAGCCAACATTATCTTCTTCTGGACTATTGAAGTTGCACTGATTGTATTTCCTGCTTCCCCTTTGCCTTCCTAAAATCTATTCCTTTCTGCTGTCTGTCTGTCTGTCTATCTTTCTCTGTCTCTCCTTCTTTCTTTCTTTCTCCATAAAGCGATTATTTTTCAAAGTAAGTCAAGTTATTTTTTCTTTGCCTTAGCACTTCAGTGGCTTCCCAGGCCATGTAGAATAAAATTCAAAATATTCACACTGGCTTCTAAATCCTGCATGATTTACATCCTTCTGCTCTGACCTCATCTTTCCTCACTGTTCAATCTAATCCCTCTGGCCTACTTGCTTCTCTAATATACAAAGAAAGCATAGTTCCTCCTCAAGTTGGCACACATTGTTTCTTCCACCTGGAATAATCTTCTCCAAGATGTCTTGCTAGGTTTACTGCCTCATAAAATTAATTTTTCCTTACCAGAGAAGTCTTCCTTGACTGTGCCATTCTGCCATCTTTCATCTCAATTATACTTCTTTATCTTTCTTTATAGCAATTATCACTATATATCATATTATATATTTATTTGTTTTTTGCCTGTTTTCCTCCTCTAGAATAAAAGCTCCATGAGGAGAGACACCTATTCTAGCTTTGGTCATGACTGTATCTCCAATGTCCACTAGAATAGAGTAGGTGTTCAATAAATATATGTTGAATAAATAAATGAATGAATCATAGTTAATTCATAAATTGTATCTACATGAAATATTATGTTTCCAGGAAAAAGAAAACTAATAACTTTTGATAGACCTTTAATGAAATTATATAAAATGAGGAAGTAATATATAGTAAAGAAAAAAAGGCATACAACATTAAAATCAAAATGAAGTATCACAATTTCTAGAAAATATTTGAGTGTCAATGTTGAAATAAATAAACCTAAGAAGTTTTAATAAAAATTTATTCTATGTTACAAATTCTACTCCATAAATATAATGCTATAGTTCATTAGAATTTTTTCCTGAAATATATTTTATGATTATGTTTATAATGGTAATTCGTTCATAGATTTCCTTAGGGAAACTATCAGACTTACAAAAAGGGCTTTAATTTTGTTTTTTTGTTTTTTTACTTTTATTATGTAGATGTAAATTCTAAAGAGAAAGAAATGACTTGATCACACAACCTTACAGCTAAGGCTAAAACATAATGCCAAAGCAACAATTTATAAAGCAAGCTATAAAATCTATAAAGTGCTCTCTTAAAATAATTTACTCAAAATATAGTTCCACCTACCAGAACCCTCACACTTGTATGCTAGCGTGCGGCCTTGTTTGAAAGGGTTTAGAAGGAGAACAATAGATGTTATATAGGAACAGAAACAAGGAATATTAAAATCAAAACAATAACTGTGAGTATTTTTTCTTTTATGGTTCTCAAACTCTGAAAATGTTTTTATTGTCATGTATCATTCTCTATTTCCTAACAGAGATTAGCAAAAAAGGGGAGAGTGTTAGGTGAGAGTTTATGGCTAATATTGAAGGTGAGAGAAGAAAATATAATTTTCTAATCATCACAAGAAAACTACAGTCAGATATCTTATATAAATATAGATAAAAAATATCCAAAGAAATGTACAAAAACCAACTGCAATTAAAAAGAATTTCAGCACAGTATTAAGATAGAAGAATGAGGTACAAAAATTAATTGAATTTCTATATTATAGCAACAATTCGAAAATAAAATTGAGGCAATAATTTGTTCACAATAGCATGAAAAAACATTTTAAAAAATAGAACAAAATAAAAGAATTATAACATTTGTACCTTAAAAATGACAAAACATTGCCGCAATAACAATAAAATAGAGAAATATTACATGTTTGTTAATTGGGCAACTCAATGTTAAGATGAAAATTTTCCCCTAATTGATCTATAGATTCAACACAATCTCTATCAAAGATCTATCAGGCTATTCTAACTGATTCTAAAATTATATGGATTTGCAAAAGGAACAATAATAGCCAAAACAATTTTAAAAAATAACAACAGTTAGAAGACTTTCAATTTCAAAACATAATCAAAAGAGGTAGTACTAACAAACCAAAAGTGGTATAATCATGCAATGAAATGTTATTTATCAATAAACATGAATGAACATTTGATACATGTCTTGATGTGGATTACCTAAAATCATTTCAATAAGTGAAAGAAGCCAGACACAAAAGCCAAACATTGTATGATTTTTTCTGTATGAAATGTCCAGAAAAGGCAAATCCATAGCGACAGATAGAAGATAAATGATTCCCTGTGGCTGGGAATGGGATTGACAACTGACTGAAAATCAATAAGAGGGATATTTTGAGAGTAATAAAAATGTTCTAAAACTAGATTGTGGTGATGTTGAACAACTAGATAATTTTGCTAAAAATAATGGAAATATATACTTATAACAAATGAAGTAGAGTAGGTGAAACCCTTAGGTGCCTATATGAAGGGAGGTGAAATGAACATGTGTGTAGACAATTAGATGTGGAAAACCAAGAGCAAGGCCCTTCTGAATGTGGAGTCCTGTGTGAATGCTCATGAGATTTGCTTATACTCAACAAAGACTTCAAAATAGCATGTTTTATATTTTTTTATCTGTGACTCACAATACAAAACATTATATTTAGAAGTTTAGTATATACAACTATTTTTAAACTTACTATTACAGTAATATTTTATTTTAAACTCAACTTATTCTATTCTAACCCATCCATTCCCATTTCAAAAATGAACCCATTAAACTGATTTTATGAACTCAATAATGTGTCCAGACTAACATTTAAAAAACAGCTGTCAAGAAGATAAAAATGATTATTCTGAGATTTAATAAGAAAAATAAAACAAAATCAAAAACAAGAACTAAAAAACAACAAAAAACCCATCAACGACTAAAATCTGAATAGTAACAACCTTAACTATTCTTATTAGATCTTCCAAACATCCTGATTCTACTTGTGATTTCAAACTCTGCTAACGCACTACTCTATCATCACCAAATATCCACTGAAAAAAGAATCAGCATGAAATAAAATATCTTAAAGTTTAATCTTCATACCTATAATTCAGACACTTTATTGAAATCTAGCTAAAGTAAATTGTGATATATCAATTTAATTTGGAGTTTTTGTCACAACTGATATTGTTGAGAGCAGAGCAAAAGATCAATCTATCTTAAATCCCAAACAACAAAATTGAGATACGTGTCAGTATCAGGTAGGGTTTTTGAATCACCATGATTGCACTAAGTACCTATGTAAATTTCTGCAAAAAAAATTATACATGATCTTTAAAATAACTGAAAAATTAGATAAAATAAGCAAATATGTAAAATATATAAATAACCACCTTATTGAATTTTTTAAAAATTATATAATTTGAATAACATGTTTGTTTTAGTTCCTCAAAGTAACAATGGAAGTCGATTATTATATATGAAATTATTATCATTATTTAAAATAATAATCATGCCATTAATTTATAGATTTACACACTGCAAAGCTCTATTCCCACAGTGAACCACTGAACCGTATCTTCTTATTCTTTTGAAGGCACTTAACTTTATAATTTATATAAAGTTACTTTGGTCACACTGCTAGATAAACATTCTTGTTTTGACCTACATGACATCTGTTGATGCCTAAGGTTAAAGCTACTATTTTCTTTCATACCTACCCATCACAAATTCTATCATCTTTCCAACCAGTATGCAAGTCACAGTACTGATATGTGACTTGAAACTATCCTGCATCATATAGAGTATTATATTCTGGAAGAAAGCATTATAGAAAGTTCAGGACAATAGTCTTAATTTAAAAAAAAATTAATTTAAATCTATATTTTTTATAAAACCAGAATGACTTTATGAGGAGATATTAAAATATCTCTCTGCAAAAAGATTTCTAAGCAGAGCTTCCTACCTCCTAGTATCCCAGTAGGAAAGTTTTCCTCCCTAGATATTACACCAGTTAGTGGCATTGTATTACCTGGATGTACTTATGTTCTGCCAGCCCACCAGGCACTTTAAGAAGCTTGTTGTTATTCAAGTGAAGTTCCCTCAGATGAGGAGTATTGGCTAGAGAGCCATTGTCAACAGAAGAGATGCTGTTGAAACTCAGTCCCAACCTGCAAAAGAAAACAGAAATGAATGTGTGTACCGCACATGGGTGCCTTCTACAGGCATTGTGTGATAAACCAAGTCAATAGAAAAGGACATTTTTTGTTTTTGCACTTAACACTTCCTTCTGCCTACAGTGCTTTATCTAAACATTCTGAGCTTGAATAAAGCCCATTTGTTCTTAAGATTTCAGTTTAGAGTTACCCTCTTTAAAACTCCTCTAACAGTACCAGACTGGAAAGGTCTCCTTAGTAAATGCTCACGTAGCATCCTTTGTCACCCTTTTTTTTAAATCAAAGGACTGTGTACTTGTGTGTTTTTCCTTGAGAAGAGTGACTGTCTTGTGGTACACCTAGTACTAACACAGAGTTTGGTATGATCTATCAATAATTGTTAAATTCATTTCTAAGTATAATGAATGTAGTGAATTGAAGGGAGAAAAATAAAAGGAACGCTATTTTATTTTGGTCACTTTAGAAATCAAGGAAGTGAATATTTATTACGTAAATTTGTTGGAAATTAAAGGTACAAGGTTCTGATGAGTCAATACACTTACCTTCCAGAAAGATTAACATAATTAGCATTTTGCATTAGTTTGCAAAAGTTCATCAATGACCATCTGTTACTGTCAGAATTTGGTGCCAACTGTCCTGGTTTCTTATCCTGATCTCTGACCTAGATTTCTGTTTCTTGGTTCCTTTTTTTATTTTTCATATAATGCCACTCAAGGTTTGAGGTTGTTTTTTTTTTTTTTAACTAAATGTATAACAAGTGAGAGTTCTGCAGCTTTGATGTCCTCTCATAATAAATGAGATTTAAAATCTGAAGTAGGCTTAGAGAGAATGGTGTATTTAACATTCTAGTGATGAATCTGTCCAAACCAGCGTGGTGTCAATCCAAAAGCGCAGAGAAGGAATACCAGGGATGAGGCAACAAAGTATTGGAAGACAGCCAGAAATCTCCAGGTGAGAGAAAGAGAAAGAATCAATTGGGTTTCTTCAAATGCAGTGGAAGGGTCTTGGGTACTTTTTATAGGATCATTTCTGCTTGCTTTTAGCTAGTTCTGATCTTTGAACCCTTTGGGGATTTAGAGGTTGGCTTAGGTAATTTAAAGTCTCCCAATTTTAATCATGATTTAGAATTTTAAATAATTGAGATTAAAGTGTATTGATTTTGGTTATTAACAGCATAATTGGTTTATCTTAGCTATTGATTCTTAACCTGGCATCTTGGCTCAGAATATTTGGGTTCTCCCTCAGTCTTAGGCATTCATCTCATTTCTGACCTCTCCTTCTTTTATTTCAGAATCATGTCTTCTGTTTCTTATGACACTCCAAGTCCCTTGTCCAGTTTGGGCTAACACACTTCTTAGACTATAATATTCCTAATAATTTATTTAAGGAAACTTCAAATTTTAAATAATTTATTTATATATTCAATCACACATTTTGAGAACCTACTATGTATTATGCTAGGCTTGTGACAGCAGATGACACATGGCTCAACAAAAACATAATTCTCTCCATCAAAAAATATTTCACCTAGTAAGGGAAATTATTATATATGTTTAATAATAAAAGAGAAGTTTGCCTGAAATTCATTTTATATTTTTCCAAAGGGACATACACTATTTTCTCCCCTACTTGTTCCTAACAACTAATTGGAATATCCGCCAAGCAACAATATTCTGAGATCAGTGGCTGCTTTTTTCTTCCTTTCACAGTTTTGATTTTTGGCATTTAAATACTTCCTACATTTCAACATCAGTGAAGAGCAAAAACACTAGGATTTGGTAGTTTAATAAACAGATTTTTCTGGATTTGATTGCATAAAGAAATATATTTGATAAATTCAAGAGTTAGGAAAGTTTGCTTGCCCAATGAGGCAATCTGATCTAATTTAGTGAATGAAATTTAAATCTATTTAAACAGACATCCTCATTTCTATTGACCTTTTCAGTTTATTAGCTCTTTATGCTTTTATTTTATACAAAGCATATGACATTAATATTAAAGGGCAGACTCTCAAAATATTCATGTCATTTTCAGTACAGAATAAACTTTTTTTTTCTAGAAAAGCACAAATATTATGAATGGTTTACTGTATTTAGAACATTAGACTATCGTTAATCTTTATCCCTACTACTACTCCTACTAATAATCCAATAATAACAGCTGTCCTAAAGACAGTCTCTGGAATAATGAGTGCAATTTATCTTCCTACATTTTTCTGTACCTAGAGGAACATAATCAACAAAGAAAGATGGGTGATGCATAACACTATTTTGAAAAATATTTTCTACATTAGAAGTTGTAATTAAAATAGCTTTAGATAAAGGATTTGAGATATTCCAGGGTAATATACTATGGTCATATGCATGTGCTCATCTTCGGCCTTCACCATCCACAGGATTATTGAGGGAATATCCATAGAAATGGGAAAAAATTGTCTTATATATCCATCTGGCCTTAGGTATTTCTCAAAGATAAATGCAATACTTTATATTTATCTATCTACCATGAAATTTATATACAAAAAGAAGGGTGAGACAAATGGGCATAAAACCATGCTTCTCTGTAAGAACATACAGTAATACATGTGGATCAGGAAGAGAGTGTTCCCTGAAGACAACTAAAAAAATTTGCTGAAACTGTCTTTTTATTACTTAACCAGATTGCAAATATAGGAAGATTAAAGTTAGGTTAGAAAGCAAGACAGGCAATAATAATCATCTATAAGGAAAAAAAGTTAGGAAGGACCAGAATTCTTTTTTTAGACTACATTAAATGGCCAGAGAATTTTGAATTCTTAAGAGAATAGGAGTTAGAGAATTTCATCATGACTGTTCTAACTCTACAGTGTGGTGTGGGATGTCCAATATTCCCATATCCTGGTCACTTTTATTTTAATGTATTTTTAAATTCTGGACACTGTGTTGTAATTTACTTAAACTCCTGTTTAATGCAACTAAGTTAGAACATATTGAATGAATATACTGATTAAATCGAGCTCTTTTAATAAGATATACTTTAATTAATCTAAAAACAGTATAGTATTCATAAAATAGGTTGATTTTGGTGGTTATAGTAAATATATCATTTCATTAGTTTTAATGAAATAATTGCAAAAACTGATGATAAACAATGATAAAAAGGTGGTGCTGTCAAAAATCAATCATGTTTCAAATTCTGAGCAAGTGGGCACTGATACACCTAGCCATTTTACTGATAAGATAACATAAAAAATTTTTATTACTTAGCCAAATTATTCAGTCCTTTCAGGCTAGCTGCATCAACTTTGGTGATTTTGTTGCCATCAAGATGTAATTCAGTAAGGGAAGGAGGAAGACCTGGAATATGGAAATACAAAATGTTGAATTAGCAGGTAAACATAATTACAGAATGTAGAAAGATGTAATGAGGACATATGCCGTGGATTTTTTAAAAGACATACAGTTTCGAAGGATTTGCTTTTCATCATTTTTATCAGTTTTGCTCTTCATCATTTTCCTTCATCCCTTCTATAATAATATATGCTCTTGGGAGTAGTATAAGCTCTTTCTACTTTTCTCCTAGATTGATTTTAACAAATACATGATTGTGTTTATCACATAGTAGACTTTGCTCCTAGGAATTGTTAGGATACAATTGTAGAACTGAAGTGAAATCCTGAATTTCATTAGTTTCTTACATGTTTGTTTATGCACTAATATTGCCATTGATAAAAGATAATAACTTTAAAATGAAGAGATGAGCATTTGAACTACAATAAAGAGATTCTGTATCAGTTAAACTTATATACAGACTTTATCAGGTATTTCGTTAATGAGCATCGTTAATAACTAACACTGATATAATGTGCAGGCCTTAGTCTTAATCAAATTTTTCATAAAAACATTAAATGCCTCTGTAACATGGGTAGTAGAAAGAGCTAAAGCTTTCTTGGAAATTTTAAAATCAAGACTGTTTCTTTATACAAGAGGAGTACAGAGGACTATAACCAAATGACCTGCCATATGTAGAGCACCTGGGGAAATAATTTTAGATCCAAAGTATCCACTAAACCTCTGGATAATACTTCTTGAATGGCTATGATTTCTAAAAATTTGGTAGTATAAATATAAAAGTTTAAATATTTTATTTTCATTTCCTTCTGCCAGCTGAGGAGGTATTATGTTCATATACAACTTTTTAAACAGCATATTGTTCTACTTATAGCAACAAATACAAAAAACCTGCAAATTGGTTATATGGAGAACTTAACATCTGCTTAGCAGAGAGTGTTGGCTATTTGTCCATAAAGAACAAAATTGAAAATTATAGGTTATGTTTGGTCTGAAGTTTTCACTGCATCTTGCTGAATTTTGTCAAAATTGTCTGTTTAATGCAAAAGTTTAGTTCATATTTGATTTGAAAATAACTATTAGTTTCTCTATGATAGTATGTTTTGTGTGAGAGATGCTAAGGAAAGGAATTCTAGTTACTGAATACCTGATATGTGCCAGACACTGAGATTGACATTTTTCCTAGCTTAGCTCATTTAATTTTTTTATTTAAATTATTTTTTATTAATCCCATTTCATAGATGAGGGAACAGAGATTCAAAGTTATAAATTTTGTAAGTTATCTAGGGAATATAATATGTTCCTAGATGGCCAAAGGGCATTAAAATAGCATGTTCTTAACTGAAGGAAATGAAAACACAATTGCATTATTATCGTGAATGAATATCAAAAAATCACAGTCACTCCTGGAATAAGAGATTTCAACTACTTGTGTCACCTTAGAATAAATACATGTGGATTTTTACAATACTCCTATAAGTAAAGCAAGTGAGTATGTAACAAAGTAATGAAGGCACATCCTTTCTTTTCTACCACCATGAAAAGATATTTTAAAAATGTTCTAGTGTCTCTAGAACAGTAATTATTCTTATATCTATCATTCTTATCTAGTTTCTAAATGTCTCCTTTTTTGGGACATCAGTTTCCCAAAAAGAAAGTTATAGCCAGGAAGAAGTTTGACTGTGGAAGAAAACTTCACATAGTATAGAGAGAGGCAAATTTATAAAGATCATTATTAGCCTTTGCCATTGTAGCATTTAGACAAAGAACCTATACTATAGTTATTTTTGTTGTTGTTCTCTTTTCCTTTTCCATTTTAAGATAAAATATATTGACAGCTTACTTTGAGCCAAATATTATGTGTGTATTATAAGTCTTACTCATATCTATTAATCCTCACAAATATTTTAGAAGATAGATGTCAGTAACAGCTCCATTTAATAAATAGCAAAACTGAGGTTTTAGAAATGTGGAATAATTAGCCTAAAGTCACAGAGCAACTAAATGACTGAGTAAGACCTCTCACTCTGGTTGGTCTAACTCGAGTGAATTTATAATCTTTCAATTTTATTCCATTGCCTTTCTGTTTCTATCAGTCATGGAAGACAATATGAGAAATTTAAGACTCCCCAAAAGTTGGTGATGTACAGGTAGAAGGGCCCCAGCCTCAGAAAGGTAGACCCATATATTAGATAGGCATAAGTATGCATAGGGGGAAGAACTTAATATGGCAGCAGAGTAAGATAGTCAAACACAGGAGCTCTGATGTCAGCCCAGCACAATCCCGGCTCGGCCACTTCCTAGCTCCAAAACTTTGATCACGATTTGCTTCATCTCTTTAATACTCATTTTCCTCATTTATGAAACAAGTGTGACAGTACTTACAGAAGATTATTTTGAGGTTTATATAACAAACCCATGAAAAACATTTGGCACAAATGCTGAATAAAATTTAATCACTATAATTTTAACATTATTAAGTATTTAGTAAATAAAGGCAAGCTAGAGATGATGAGAAAAGAGCACCTAGAATAGGGAAACATTATCAGAAAATCAAGAAAAAACAGATCTTTAAGTGATGAAATGTGTTTTTGTGGGATATTTAGAAAGATGCATCAAGAACAGCAAAATCAAAGATTGTGCTTAATGCAAGTCATCTGGCAGTATGAAGTAGTGGAAAAGACCTGGACTTTAAATCCCAGCTACTTTACTTCACCATCTACAGCTCTAAGGCTTTAAGCAAGATATATATACGTATATATATGATAGGCATATATATAAAACTTTATGTATATATAAATATATCATACAATATATCAAATATAAATAAAACTATATTAAATACATATAATCCCTGCACTAGGGATAAAAAGATTATTTGCTACATGAACAAGTCAGAGACTCGACATGAAAATGCTTTATGAACTATATATCAATTTCCCTCTATCTATGTATATCTATCTATTCATCAGTAGTTGCTATTATGGGTCAGAAACATTTATTCTCTATAGCAAAAAGACTGTGGAGAGGGCAAGGGGTGGTAAGAAACCATTTTATGGAATATGCATTCTAGAGTTCAACTTTCTGTGGAAGTGTAATAAAAGGTAATTGTTTTCTATAGGCAAGTAACTACATTTTGTATCTAGTCTAAGAACAAGATATCTAAGTTGAAAAGGACCAGATTGAGAGGGAAATTTGAGAGTATAGAGTGGGTTTGTGAAATTGAGAATCTAAGGCAGGGAAAATGTGAAAATTAGAGGAATTTAATTTTGGTTATTTGATGCCTTTTCTGATTCACAAAAATTGGCTTATGTGCTCACCCTGAGTAGCCCTTACTTAACACAATGAACTTATTTCCATGTCTGTGTGATAATTGCTCTAGGCAATACGCTCCTTGAACTCAGGTAATATAAGTATATCCTATTAACTGCCTCATCTCCCATGTTTAGTATTTTGCCCAAGCAAAATGAGTGTGCAAAAAATAATACATATCCACTACCTATCTACATATCAGATATTTCTCTAGTTATTTATTTAATTTTAAAACAACCCAACAAGGTGGACGTTAATATTACCCACCTCACAAATAAAGAAAATGAGGCACAGATTTTGAATAACTTGTACAAAGTCCTAGAGGCAATTAGTAACCTTTTGAACTCAAGCAAATGGACTCCAAAATCCACTCTTTACAACACACAACTGCCTGTATTAAATAAGTGCCACTGTGGATCCTCTCATTCAGAGTAATATCGAAATGTCCTAGGATGGAAAGAAATTCACTGAGGGATTAGAGACTCAAAGCAAAAATTTGCTCAATTTCAGAGGTATTTCCATGTGTCTCTCTCTGTCTTCTTCTCTTCTTCCTCCTCCTCCTCCTTCTTTTCCTCCCTCTTCCCCTTCCCCTCTTCTACTTCTCTTCCTCCTTCTATTCCTCCTGCTTCTTCTTCCCTTTTCCGTTCCTCTTCTCTTTCCTCTTTTCCTTCCCCTTTCCTTTCTCCTTCTTCTCCTCCTCCTCCTTTTTTTTTTACAAAGTACTGCTAATGCACTCTATTTTTAAAATAATAACTGACTTATTCCTTTGTGGAATCACTATTCTATAATATAAAATCATTGAGTAGTAAGTTACATCTTAGAAGAGACTGTATAGGTAAAAGAGCCTAGCCATCTGCACAGTGAGCTGACCGGCCCAGGGGCCTCCCAGACTCAATAGAAATACTTCTAGAGACAGAGAATTTACTAGAAATTTAGTTGGCCACTTGAGTGACCAGTCAAATTTCTAAAATAGTTTTTTAAGTGTCAAAGCTTTTGGAATTAGATTTTTAAATTGCTTTGAAGAATTTTCTATTACCTTGAGGGATGGAAGTTATATCAGTGTCAGCAATGCGGATGTAGGAGAGTTTCTTCATTCCTTGGAAGGCTCCATTATCAATTCCTGAGTTCTTCAGAGGGTTGGTGCCCAGTTCTACAAATACAGTAAGTACAGAACTTTTAGAGGACAGTTTTAAGATATTGCAGGTCAGAGTAGTGTCTGTTTCAACAAGAAATTTAACAGAAATTTGCTTTAATAATAACTTGAATGAAAAACAAAAGAAATTAAAAGACATGCTTCACAAAGGGATAGGCAAATGGGGTAAAAACATTCCTTATTAAAACAAACATTAAATAACAACAACAAAAAAAACCCCAAAAACATTTAGTAAAGAGTATTATAGCAAAAATAATAACACAATTATTTAAAGTACATACACAGCTTTGCCCAGAAATCAACAAAAGCAAGTGTTTATAAATCACACTTATTGTGGGGCTATTACTTTCCTAAAATACATTAAAGTGTTTTTAAATAATTTCAACCTAGCATTTTGTAAGCCAATTAAAAATTACCATTTTTTATGACACAGAGAGTAAAACATTAGAACACACATTTTTAAAGCAAATAATTTATAGACTTTCAGAATAAAACAAATCTACACAAGAGAAAATTATCCCTAAATATTTCCAGTCAAGCATTACTTAGTTTGATCTTTCATCTTGGGCATGTTGTAGTCTAACTTCAGCTGTTGAGTTATCTCTACATTCTCAGATCCCCAAGGACAAGGAATAAAAACGTTGTAAGTCACAATTTCCAAATCCCATTTCTCCTGGCCCTGTTCCTGCCCTTCCTATGGGCTTAAGGCATGTAAGTTCTAACTAATTCACCTTCCTGCAGCTAAAGCTTACTTGAAATCTCTTAAGGTGAAGTGTGAATCTTGGTCTTAGAGTTATAAGAATATCTGTACCTATGACGATCATCTGGTTTAGTCCATTGAACACAGATTTTCTCACTTTGGTGATCTCATTCTCATGGACACGCAGCTCCTGAAGAGTTTTGGGCATTTTTTCTGGTAATTCCTTCAGCTGATTCTTGGACAGATAAAGTCGTTCCAATTTCTCCAAAGGTGTAAACGCTCCGGGACTGATTTTGCTAATTTTGTTGTTGACAAGAATCAATGCCTATAGACAGTGAACAAAAACATTTCTTAAAACCTTCCATATATATATATATAAAACTAGTGCATAATCTATTTATTCTACCACGGGACTAGCAGAGAAATCTGCTAAGTATCAAGAAATCAGAAAGATTAAGTAGATGTGACTCCTTTAAGAAATGTATGAGTATCTGAACCTCAGAAATTAAAGGGAGAGGAATGTTATAAAATATATGTAACATATTAAACAATATGTAATTTCATAAAGATTGGATTACTAGAGCGACCCAAGATACCTAAAAAGGCATCCATTCCTCAATCAGTTTTTCAAATTATAAGTCCGTCTTCATTGACTATTGTCATGGATTCTACTACAAAAGAGTGGCACCAATTTATACTATCACCAGCAGTGAAAGAAAATAAAATTTGTTGAGGCCTCATAAATTTAGATATAATCTGTTTCCAAAGTTTGTCAAATTAGTACATTATGTTGTAGTAGTTCATTGCTTTACTTTGCATTTCCTTGTCACTTGAAAGCTTTAAAAACTTTCTGTTTATTTTCCTACCATTTATTGTATGTTTTAGTGGAAAGGGATTACTTGATCACAATACTTCTTATTTTTATTAAATTTTAATATATTTTAATAATAGACTTAGAAAATAAAGATATAGTTAATATGATAGGCCAAGACTTAATACATTTTTCTTTTCTTTTGAACTTTTTATGTATAAAGGTTTGATGTGGTCAAATATATTAATATTTTTGGTAATTTTTTTGTTTGTTTCTGAGCTCTCCTAGTATAGGAAATGACTTCTAACTTATTATTGCTATACTTATAGCTATCACCAAACTCAATTCTGGACTATCTCATTCTCTTCCAATGATCTGTATGTCAACAGAAACACACTCTTCTTATTTACATAGATCTCTTTATCAACTAAGTCAAGTAATTTAGGATAATTTCATCAAGTTTTAAGAAATTTGCATTTGCAATTGTAGTACTCTTTTATGCATATATGAAAATGCAGAGGGACAAAAAGAGAATTAGAGTAATGGAAAAGTGATAATTTTCAGTCTCAGAAATGCAAGAATATTTCCTTATAGTAACAGCTGGTTAATTAACCTATGTACTTCCTCACGTAGTTCACATTATTTGACTAATTAAAACTTATTACAAATAATACAATTTTTTTTTTGTCTAATCCTGAAATATGCATTGGTTAATTAAAACAAAATCTTAAGAAATCTCAGTGAATATTATAGAAAGTTCAAAAATTCATGAGAGTTTAAGTCATAGGAAATTGATATTAACAAGCAAAATGTCCAGGAAATCAGTAAAAGCCAGAGCTAGAGAAGGATTGAGAGGATTTGTATAATTAAAGATACCCCTAAATGGTGGATGCTTAATTATAAATGCAAAGGAGATCCTCAATTGTCATCTATGGAAGAAAATTCTGAAAACTTGATATAATTAAATTCATTAAACGTGGTTTGAAAATTTGTTTTATTTTACATTAAGTATTGAAACCTACTATAAAGAATCAGTCTGGTGATGTATTACCTATTATTTCAGGTAATAAAATATCACTTTTTTTTGCTAGATAATAATTAGATAATTGCTTATACCTATGAGTATGCTGCTAACTTTTGGAGTAGTATGACATTTGTCCCCAATTATTTCTTTTGCAAAGTAGGAATAATAATAGCACCTACAGAGGGTTGTTGTGAGAATTAAAAATGATAATGTATATAGACTGCTTCTTTACAAAGCATCTTTCAAATATTATTCTTAGTTGTAAGTTTTAGTCCAGTGAAAAGCATCTCTGCCGTCAGTAAAAAATAGAATAAATTTGAAAAATAAATAAAACTATGCAAATTTTGGTCATAATGAGGTAAAATTTTAAGAGCTATATAAATTAGAACTTTGTATAAAACAGATCCATATATGAAAAAAGTCATTCATTTATATACAGTATTGCTAAAAGTAGTTAATGTTAGTTCCATACACAGGGATATATATTTAAGAAGATCTATTTATACAATAATAAACAATGACAAGGTGTTGAGATAAGAAAAAAATGACTAATGGCAAAATACAGCTACCAGAGAAAAAGTCATAGGTTGAACCCCAGGTGTTCTTCAGGAGATTAGCTGATGAAAAGAAGAAAGACAAGCAGAGATGGATTATCATTAGCTAAGAGGCTGAGAATAGACAGTTCTGAGAGAAATAGTTGGCTGGGGGTCAGAAAGTGCCTTGAGTACCATTTAACCTAAAATGGAAGCACAGACTCAAAAATCGGGACAATCTACTTCTTTGGTAACTAAAGAAAAAAGCGATTTAGACTGGGAGGTAGGGGAGAGGTGATGAAAAAGATGATGGGCAATAGAAATAGGGTAGAAGTAGAAATAAAAGCATTTTCACCACCTTCATCCAAGAAAGTGGTTAAGAGGTACAAACTTTTGGTTGTAAGATAAGTCCTGGGGATGTAGTGTCCAGCATGGTGACAATAGTTAACACTGCTGTGCAGTATATTTAAAAATTGCCAAGAGAGTAAATCTTAAAATTTCTCATTATAAAAAGAATGTTTTTTTAATTTTTTATATCTATATGAGATGATGGATGTTAACTAAACTAATTGTGGTAATCATATATATATATATATTTATATATACATATAAATGTATATACATATAAATATATACACATATATATTTATATGTAGATATTAATATATAGGTATATGTAAACATATATATAAATTCATTATGCTATATTCCCTAAACTTATACAGTGCCTGTATGTCAATTATATTTTAATAAAACTGAAAGAAAAAAATGTTGAATCTGAATTAATACTTACAATTTTCTCCAAAGCCACTTACGTATGGCTTACATCGTATGAGGTATTATTATTTTTTTTAATGATATTTTATTATTAGTTTCAATTACACAGTTTCAAGTATTGGTTAGACATTTACATAGTTTATAAAACGATCCCTCTAACTGATCTTTCTCTTTTCTGGCTCTCCACCTAGCCAACATATTAATGCTAACTACATTCCCTATGCTGTGCTCTCATCCCCATGACCATCTATTAACTACTAATTTGTATTTCTTTAATCCTTCACTGCTTTCTCCCAGCCCTCACCCTTTCTTCTGGCCATGGCCAGATTGTCCTCTATATTTGTGAGTCTGTTTTTGATTAGTTTTTATTGTTCCTTAGTATGAGGTATTATTTTAAGGGATTTCATGTTTGCTATCAAATTTGAAGGTAAATAGTGCACAGAATCAAGTCAGACTGTTCCTGAGTTTAGATCTCAAATTCTGGCTCTTATTTGCTGTTTGACTATGAGCAAGTAACTTAACTTCTCTGTGCCCGAATAACTTCATCTGTATAAAAGGATTATCAAGAGTGTGTACCTCATAAGAATAGTTATAAGAAATAAGTTAATGTGTATAAGGTATTAAAAACAATGCCTAATAATAGTAATTGCTAAACAAGTGTTTTTTTTATTATTCAGTCTTTGACAATTTTTAATTTAAAAAATTTATTAACTTGAATTTGAAAAAAATGTACTGAATGTTAACATTATAACACTTAATTTGCCATTATTTTATAGAATAATTATGTAGTTTTTCTCTACTACATGTAAATATAAAACTACTCTTACAACATGTACCATTCAGACTGAGCCACAGAGTTGTAAACTGATAAAATTATTGAGAACAAAAAAGAACATTTTTCTGTTAAATCCTTTCTATTTTAATCCTTACTAAATTTTCATTTCTCTCCTTCTTTCTCATTCAAATGTGGCTTTCCTGGCTGAAATTATGATGTTTATTTACATAATAACAAGGATAAAAATGATCATGAATAAAAGAGTAAGAGAAAATAGCTGTTTACCATCCTCTGAATGGTTGAGAGCTCTAATAAACTCTCTCTCCCTCTTCTTCAATGTATACTTTGAAATAAAAAGAAAGAGACTGTCGAGATGATAGTTTCCTAAAAACATACTTAGAAGTAGGTGTGGAAAAGAAAGAGCACATTATTACAATGCCAGATTTAATGAGGACATCACAGAAACTAGGTGTCTCTTATTTAAGAATTTGAGTTCAAATTATTCAGATTATACTTAAACACACAGGAAGTAGCAATTAGAATCAGAGAATTTTCCTTACTTTAAAAAGAAACTTTAGGGTCAATTTATAAAAATAAAATGAAGCTTCTAAATATTTTAGTTTATTGAAACTAATAATATTTAATTTTTATTATTACCTCTTTTACTTTTTCCAATGGTAGTTTAAATACCATTGACCAACTTGTTGGTATCACCATCTGCTCTCTCTCAGTGAAACAATAACATGAAAGTAGAGAGAAGATCAATATGGACTCAGGCCCAGTCACCTATCAGTGGAGACAGATCCCACTAGCCCATGGTTTGAGAGCTCTAGATCAAGCCTGTCCTACACTGTTTTGGAGCTAGAATCTTTCACTCTAGCCAGTTTCTATGTTTACTTATTTACTTCTTGTTTTCTTCTGCCTTTTCTTTCCTCTACCACAGAAAACCCTCTTTACTTCTCTTTTTTTCAAAATTCTGCTTATCCTCTAAGACCCCTTTTTCTATATTTTCTCAAAACACTAACTGGTAACCTGATGTAAAATGATGTCTGATTTTTCACTTATTTGGTATCCATAACATTCACTACTTAAATCATATTATACTTATATTGTTGGACACTTCAATAAATTGACTATACAACTTTCCATGTGCCATGTGTATTAATTAACTGCTCCATGGAGAATCTTAAAATATTGAGAAAAATTTATGCTTCCTTTTAAAATTCTAGTATATTTTCTCCTAATGGATAAATGTTTTGTTTTTCCTTGACTGTCAGATAGTTGATAATTAAATCTTGTCTTCATTATATGGACTCTATAGCATATTATGACCAGGTTATTTTACTTTACATTACATTGTTTCCTTTAAATATATATTTCTTATTTTGATACATAGCAGCCAGATGATGTACTTTTATGTTTATATTTTACTATGTATTATCTATTTTTATTGTATACTCCTTCAATTATTTTTTTATAATAGCTAGAAGAAATAAATGGACATGGCATTAGAATTTTCTGTTTATATTCCCAAACTTACTAATGTATTTTTATGATATTTTTCATAAGAAGCACTAAAATTATCTTCCAGATAGGTCATTCATCACTAGGCAATCCTCTATATTCATTGAAAATTTTAACCCTTTGCATTATATCTTTAATATTGAACAAAAATTTGCATCTCTGAAATACCACTCAATTATCAATAGGACAATTCTGTCATCTTACAGTTGAAATAAGCAAATTCAATTTCTGTTCTCCAACATAGCCCTTCACTCATGACCATCAACTGTGCCTGTATGATATAATTTTCAAATTCTTTATCTCTATGATGATCTTTCTTTGGATGCCTTTCTTAAAATGTTTCGCCGAGGACCAGACTCACTACTTCAAGAGCGTTCTACCAGAGTAAAGTACAGAGACAGTAAGACTTTTGATATTTATTTGGACATTGAAATCTGGCTTATTAACACTAAATGTGCAATAGTATTTTGAGGGGGAGCCACATTCTATTCATCTCATAGGTAGAGAGCTAAACTCCATAACAAATTTTATAGGGATTCTGATGTCCTACGTAAACAGATAATGCATATGTATGTATGTATGTATGTATGTATGTATGTATATGTGTGTGTGTGTGTGTGTATATATATATATATATAAAGATAAAATTATATTTACTAAATAAAATGTGAACAATTATTCCTTTTTCTCTTGGTACTAATCTTTGAGGCTCTTCAAAGTTATTTGCATCTCCTAGAATATGGATAAAAGAAACCAAAGGAATACCAGTCTGTTTTTTGTTTTGTTTCACTACTGAAGTACAATCTAATTTATGAAATATGAAAGAGTAAAATATAAAGTATTTTTAAGAAGCAAATACTAAAGATATATGAGGTATATGTAAAAATGGCTAAGTTTTTAGAAGTTAATGAAATGATGCTTTCCTCCTTGATCTTAAGAACAGACTTTGATAAACATTTATGTGCTTATTTATTTCCTTATAATACTTTTGGTCTCACCTAAGTTTTATTTTGAAAAACACTTTAAGTCAAATCTTATAACTCAAAAAATTAAAAAAATAAATCTTACATGAAGGTTCTTTAGGTTCTTAAAGTCTCCATCTTTGATTTCAGTTATTTTGTTGTTTTGCAGGTCTAGCAGTGTGGTGTCAGGGGGGAGATCTTTTGGTACTTTGTCCAGACCTAGTATGAGAATAAAAGTAATGTGCAATCAGTAAAAAAGGACACATGACTGAGACAGAATCACAAAGGATGTGTTTACAAAGAAATCAATGTTGCAGTGATATTTTTAATAGTACCATATTTTCTTCTAGAAATTATATTAATTGTGACTTAAAGTATCTGCTTTATCTTTTCCAACCAAATCAAAGGACTTTTTAAATTATAAACAAAACACATTATTTTCCCCACGTAATCACTCTTCTGCATAAAAGGAAGATTTGTATTTTGTAAAGGTGTGACTCAAATCATCACTGCACGGTATGTTTTATCTCATTGTTCTTGTTTTAGAAAGTCGATTCCTTGATAGGTGTTAATTGCAAATGATTTATAAATCTGTATTTTTCTACATAAATATCCTGTCGGTAGAGAAGAACTTTCGACAAATCATTGTTAAAGATCCTCTTGATAAATTTCACACTGTCACAAATCTACATTTAAAACTTAAAATTAAAATTATATAAACATGAAAACAAATTGTTGTGTCAACAACTTAAAAATTTATCCAAACTTTTGGGAGAATAGTTCTTTTAGTTTTAATTAGAATGGCAAAACAATATCAATTTTAGTTGATATTTTATGACCAATAGATATGTGGTTAACTAGAATAATATAATCTAAATTTCTTAGTGTAAATTCTCTAAAATTTATTTATAAAACATTACTTTTTGACTTTAAATTTTGGTTGAAAAAATGAGTTATTGTTTTTAGTTTATAAGTGTAAACACATCGAATAACCAAATGCTCTATGGAATTAAAAAATATTTTAGTAGTCATTCAACTGGATGTATATGTATGAACCTGTTTTATTCAAAAGTTATGGCATATTAAATAAATCATCATTATGAATGTTAATAAAGAAAAATATTAAATGATATAGCCATTTGCCTTTCTCTCTTCCATTACCTTAATGCCATATTGATGTAGGGTGTTAAACAAAAAATTTTATACTCTATTAACTCAAATTCATGTGATCATTTATGTATTTTATAATTGCAAAACATAAATTAGAAATGTTTTTCAACCTCTCCATCATATCTAAAACTTGAAGTTCTGAAGATCATTCTTCCATTCATTCAACACGGCTTTACTGAGTACCTCCTAGACATCATCAGTTTATTAGGCTCTGGGTATACAGCAGGACTAAGACAGTAATTGCCCACATCTTCATGGAAAATATAATTTAATCTGCAGTTTTCAATTTAAAAACATTGCAACATAACTGCTATGTTGAATAGATATCTTTCCAGTTTTAAATCTTAGGTAACTGCTTACAGGTAAATTATCATGGTAGCCATATTCTATCTTCATATCTTCCTGGAAAATTACAAAAAATGAATCTGAAATCAACTACCATCTAAGTTTTTCCAAATAATTTTTTGTTCATATTATCACTGCTCTGTTGATAATGGGAAAAATATCTAGCTCGCAATTCAATGATTAATTATCATTACAGTTGAATAACAAAATGCAGGTGATTCTAAAAATGCATAAATATATTCCAAGAACTCACTACAGAAAGAGTTCACAGAAAAATAAGAGTGAAGTGTTTTCAGTGACAAATAGTATACTACCAGAACAGCTATGTTGTAGGAGGATATTCAACTACATTATGCTGTCTATGATCACTGACATTTTCAAAAATGCCAGTTTGTTAATTTCATGCAATTAGAAGTGGTAGACTTCTGCCAAATCTTTGATAATTAGTGTTCTCCAACCAAGAAAAGGCACATTTCCTTTCATTTGGAAAAGCTACAGCCTACATTTTCATTATTACTTCATGATTTTTTTTTTTGTCACAGTCTTAATTTCCACTTACGTTAACTTTTATACATTGTTAAATTTAAATTATGGTGGCTCTCCTAATATTTGTTCAATGCCAAAGTGCAGCTAAATTTCAGATGTGAAGAGAAAAAATTATATATCTGAATGGTTGACCATTTTGATATGTTGTCATCTTAGAATCTTATAACAAAAGGAACTGTTTGGAGTAAAGTGAATTATATACTTTTTTTTCCTCTGAAGATTTAACATATAAAAATCTTCAGGCTTCTAATTTTTGCAGTTTAGTTCTCAGAAAGTCATTTTAATGATCAAAATCATAACTCTACAATCTTTTCTGAATTACTAGCAAATTCATATCCATTCGGGGCTTTTACATATCAATATTTTATTATTAAATCTTTATGTAGCTTTATAATTAAAATTAAAAATAAAATGTTATTTTATTTACCTTACAATAATCCAGTGAAATAGGCAAGGCAGGATGATTATTTCATTTTTCCAGATGATTTTTAGAAAAGTTTTAATGACATGAATAGTCTCACATAGCTATGAGTGACAAAATACAGACTAGAAGACACTTCTCTCATCTTCCAACAGAATGCTATTTTTTTCTGCCTTATAGACATGTATCCCCAACAAGAATTGTTCTGACAGCAGACCCAATAACATACTGTACATTTAAGGGCTAAATAGAGCTAGACAGAGCTTGCTCAACAATTATAGGCAAAGTATAATGGGGAAATTATATCCTAGTTATGCATTCTAAGAATATCACAAAAGGAAAAACTATTAAATATCAGCTAATCTATGGTTCCCAAATGCTGGTCAAGTAGACTCTATGATGAGGTTCTTATCAGTTTATATCAAATCCAGAAAAAAAAAGAGGGGGCAATCTGGCTATTATTACCATAAATTCTCTCTCTCTCACACACACACAGACACATACCACACATTTCCTCCATTTTAAATGTACCACCTTAAAAAAAAAAAAAAAAAAAAGATTCTGATAGCAGATGGCTGGTTGTTGTGATGTTGCTGGATTTGGTTTTGACTTTAATAAATAATTAACTTTTTAACATTCAAAAAGTTTACTTGTCCCAGTAATCAGAAAATTTCTAAACTAGTTCAGTACTCTCATCTCATAGGTAAAGAAACAGAAACCCAATGAAATTAAATGGCTTATCCAAGATGCCTCATAGCTAAACTAAACCGAGACCAAAGTGGTATGAGTTCTCACTCTAGAACTACCTGATCAATGTGCTATTTGTACATGTAAATCTGTGTATGTTTTTAAAAGATGTTAATTTACACTGTCTCTTGAACATACTGTGCTTATTGCTAGCTACTCGTTTTTGTTCATATCATTTGTTTTATGTAATACTCTGCTCATTCATTTCCTTCTATTTCATTCTAACAGTCCTCTAAAGCATACTCGTTATTCCCTCTCCTCTATAATATTCATCACAACCACTCCTGATAATGAAGACCCTCATCCTCCAAACTCCTTATGTTTAAGCTTCTGATGTATTACCCTGCAATTTAGATTTTTTTTTTTTTTTTTTTTTGGTAAGCTCTGGATAAGCAGGGACAAATGACTGTTTTTCATCAGAGCTTTGATCTTTCTGCTTTGCACACAGGAGGTAGCTTCTTGATTAGTTTTAAAGTCATAGTCTTTCCTGCTGTCCCATGGTGAACAGTATAGGTTATGACTTCAAGACCTTTTCTTCTATGTTTTGATAAAATTATGTTTTCATCCTGCTTTCAGGAGAATTCTTATTTTTCCTCTGAAGTATTAAGATATAACTGGCTATAATAATCATAATTTTCTTTTTGATTCTTGGTTTTCCAGGAACATTTTAGAAATGAACGCTACTATCAAACATATCATCTCTAATATCTGCTCCTGAAAATCGCTCTCACTTTGTTATGTGTCTTTATATATTTGTAAGGAACCTTTTATCACTTATGTATCTTAAGAAGACTGACTTTTCTGTCCCACATGGTGACAGATCCAATGGTAACAGTTTCTTTGCACAACATATAATTTTCATATATTTCTCATGGGGAGGGGTTGATTATAAACCTTTGGAGGAAGAAACAGACCCTCAATTATGGATTAGTATTGTCAAAAACAAACAATCAGGCAAGCAAATAATTAATCCTGAATCTGGTCAAGCCTCTAGATGTACCTCCCAATTTACAAGAAGTAGAGAGGTCAAAAGAACATTCTAAAGTCCACTAAAGAAAATAATTCAACAGAATCCCAATTTCTTCAACAAATAATTTGAATGGGAAAATAAAGAAATGTTGGTGAAACTAGTTTAAAAGAGACATTGGAGTTATTTAAATAATTGCAATGTATGTATTTCATTGGATACCAATTCATACAAAAATAAAATGAAACATTTATAATATTTATAAGATGATTGGAAATGTATGCATCAAATGAATATTGGATGATATTAAGAAATTCTTTTTAATTTTAGGTGTGATTTTATTATTATGATCGTATTATTTACAAGTTTTAATCCTTTAGAGAAATATACTGATATATTATTGGATAAAGTGATATGATGTCTGGAATTTGCTTCAAAATTATACCAAAGGGGGAAAGTAAATGGGATGTATAGGAAACTACTGGCGTTAGTTGGTACTTGTTAAAGTTTGGTGATGGGTACACACCTATCTCTTATCTTACTTTGTAGGTTTTGTATATTTTTAAATGTTTCTATGATGTATTTTTATAAGATTGCTATTTGAAATTTAATTTTGGTCCATTTTTTGAGCCTTAAGATCAGTGGGCAAATGTGTAAACTCTCTACACCTCAATGTTCCTGCATCCTTCACAGAATTTTTGTGAGAACTCGATAAGCTATTTTATAAAATAATCTCCTACCAGGGTGCATAACAGGGTCCCAATTATTAGTATCTATAATTATTATCAATAAGGAGATGAGAGGTCACAACTCTAATTATCTTGCTGATATATTGGTCTGTAAGTCTGTGACAAGAAATTGTTCTTTTTTTCTCTTTTTTTTCTTTTTTCTGCACAATACAATTATAATGCATATTATCCTGGAAGCTGAAATCTCTGATGCAGGTATATTACACAGATTTTTCACCTAGAGGTCTTAATACCGAGTGGGGTTTTTGTCAGTCATTTTGTGGTCTTCTTGGAT